CATCAGGCAACTCATAACTGCCCTAACTTCAACTCCAGGGGATCTGGCACTCTCTTCTGGCCTCTGCTGACACCCATATACATGGGCATACACTCACACAAATACACATAAAAAATCTTTTTCTTTAAAGAATATTATCAGCCAGGTATGGTGGTGCACACTTATAATCCCAGCACTTGGGAGGTGGAGGTAAAAGATCAGGAATTCAAGGTCGTTTTTCACTACACAAGTTTGGGGTCAATCTGGGGCACATGAGACCCTGACTCAAAACAAACCACCCAAAATTCCTATTAATTATTCAGAGAAAAGTACACCAATGTGCCAGTATTCTAGAGTGCATTCTGTCACTGTGGTGGTTTGAATGAGAATGTCTCCCATAGGCCCAAGTATTTGGACACCTGGTCCCTAGTTCCCAGTGATGTTTGGGGAGGGCCATGGAGACTTTAGGAGATGTGGCCATGCTGGAGGAAGCACAGCACTAGGGAAGCAGGCTTTGGGAGTTAAAAGCCATGTCCCACTTCCAGTTTCTTCTCCCTCCTTCCTGTGCCTGCTTGAAGATGTGAGCACTCCACTTTCTGCTCCAACTCCAGCCACCTCTGCCACCATGTCTCCTCTCCCTGATGAACTCTTCCTCCTCTGGAACTGTAAGCCCAATAAACTCTTCCTTTTATAATTTGCCATGTCATGATGTTTTATCATGGTTAACAGTCACCCATATACAAATATGACATTAAAGAGTTTTTTTACTTGGACTCCTGGGGACTGAACCCAGGGCCTCATGGATGCTAACAAGTGCTCTACCTTGAGCTATACTCACAGCCATCTTTTATTTATTTTGAGACATTGTTTCACAAGGGTACCTAAGCTGGCCTTGAACTTACTTTGAAGCCTACACAGGCCTTGAACTGGTGATCCTTCTGCCTCAGTCTCTAAGTAGTTGAGAATTACAAGGCCTACCTAGGCCACCAGCCTAGCAAAAGCCGTCTCTTATACCAAACTGCCACCATCACCACCACTAATACACACACCAAAACAACTAAGAATTTCTCTTTACTCCAGGGGCTCTACAGCCTCTGCTTGCTTTTCTTCAGTTCTGGTCAGGTCATTCTCCTCTCAGGTTACTAAACTCAAATTCACTTCACAGGCTGGAAGACTGTTTCTTTGTATTTTTACTTCTTGGAGCCAGGGTGTCATTATGTAGCCCTGGCTGGTCTGGAGCATCATGTGTAGATCAGATTGGCCTTGAACTTGCAGCAATTCTCCTACCACTGCCTCTTGAGTGCTAGAATTGAAGCCATATGCCACCACGCCTGACTACTGATCTGAATTAAAGGCTTTTTAAGACCTTTTCCAGCTTTGGAACTATGATTCCCATTCACCTAATGAACATGAAGAAACACATACAGACACAAAAATCAGTAAAATCTAACAGAAATGATAAACTCCAGCAATTAATCATGCTGAAATCTATTAAACATTTATTGGGAAAGTTATTACTGTAGGTAGTCAATGTGTCCAATTCTGCTATCAACCATGAAACACTTTAGGCACAGATTGCCACTATCTAGCTAAAAAAATATTGGGCAGAGGCCTGTGAAGCTAAGAGTAAGGTTCTGGCTTTCTAAAATTGACATCTACCCATCAGCCAGGGGGGTTACAGCGTAAGCCCATAATGCCAGCACGTGGGAGGCGGAGGCTGTAAGATCAGGAGCTCAAGGTCATACTTAATGCGTTTCAGGCCAGCCAGGGCTAAACAGGAAGACTCTCAAAAAATAAAAAGAAACCTCAACAATCTGGTACGGCAGGTAATGCAGGTGATAATGATCAATCCGTTTTTGAGGGGGAAGAGAAACACTAAGCATTGAAACCAGGGCCTTAAGTGTTCTATTGCTGAGCTATAGTCCCAGTCCTCTTTTTATTTTTTAATTTTTCTTCATCATTGTTACTAGAAATTTTGGGGAGCCTATCTGGGGTGTCATGTTACCAGAAAAACTGGGGTTCCCTCTCAGGGTTCTTAGTCTCATTAATAAAAATATTTAAGAACAGACACCGATGGGGGCTCAGGGACAATTTTATTAGAGTTCAAAAGAAAAACCCCAGGGGCTGGAGAGATGACTCAGTGGTTAAGAGTACTAGCTGCTCTTGCAGGAGACCTGCATTTGATTCCCAGCATCCACCGGCGGCTAACAACCACCTGTAACTCCAGTTCCACAGGAATCCGATGCCCTCTCCTGACCTCCATGGTACTGGATGTCATGGGTGCACTGACATACATGCAGGCAATACACTCATACACATAAAATGAAAATAAAAAAATATTTTTTAAAAAAGAAAAAGAAGAACCCCAGGGTGGGCAAGCCATAAGCTGCCTGGAAGAGGATGGGAAGAGGAGAAAATCATGCAATTCGTAAGAAACCACATGGCAGAAGGAGGCAGAGGGATAGCTTCGGAGGAAAACGTGAGAAAACCCAGTGTCCAGGAAGTCATCTCCAGGCTCTGGCCAGTATCTTGAAGAAAAAGAGATAAAAAGGAAAACTTATGCTTTTCTGAATAATTCTGAAAATCAGGTAGCCTTAGCCCGGGTGAAGGCTGTGGCTCCACAAGTGACTGCACCAAGAACAGGGTAGGAAGGAAAAGTGTGTTAACTCATTAAAGTCTCCGGAGACTCATTCCTCTAATCTCCTCAGCTTGGCTTAGGTGAATAAACTTTCCTGAGGGTAGTCTCTTGGCCAGGCCCAGCTGGATTACTTCTTGAGAGGTTTATGTAATGTTCTACTCTTTACATCAGATCAGAATGTAGTCTCTACCTATGCTAGAGGCAGAGTTCATTTTTGTGATCAGAAGTCACTTTCCCTTAAGGGGCCTCAACAGATCCAGGTTACATTCCACCTCTGAAAAAGTAACCCTAAAAATCATTTACTAGATGGACTGAAATTGGGGAATGGATATAATCCATTTTCACTATGAAAATATAGAGATTCAACTTTAAAGCTGTTCACCAGAACATCTGAACTAGAGTTTTGGTTGAATTGCATTATATAGCCTCCAGGCAGGGGTGCTCATTTAGAAAAAGAAACCAGAGCTGAGTTAAGGATATTTTCACCAAGGAAAATAATATATTCACCTTTGGATCCCTACCACTAAACTAACCAAGTTTGTTGTTGTTGTTTGAAACAAAGTATCACTATACACCCCTGGCAAACCTGAGACTCCTGTACAGACCAGCAGACCAGCCTGGTCTGGAACTCAGAGATCTGCCTGCCTACCTCCCAAGTGCTAAGATCAAAGGTATGTACCCACCACACCAGCCTATACCTAGCCTTCCATTACCTGTCCTCATCATTAATGTGTGTATGGAACTCAGAGGACAACTTTCTGACATTGGTTCCAGGGATCGAACTTAGGTTGTCAGGCTTATGCAGCAAGCACTTTCCATGCTAATCCATCTCACTGGCCCCTTTTTATTGTTTTGATTCAGAGTGGCACTGGCCTTCAAGCCACTCTGTAGCCCAGGCCAGCCTTGAACTTACTGTCCTCCTGCATGAGCCTTTCCAGGCCCCAAGCTTCCAATGGTGATCTTGCCAGACCTGGAGTTCAGATTCTCCTGTTAATTTCTATACGGTGTGTCAAATTTTTTAGCACCTCCAGCAAAATGTAGCAATCTAACCAGGAGGTGAGATGCCTGCCTTTAATCCTAGCTCTAGGGAGGCAGAGGAGGCGGATCTCTGAGTTCCAAGCCAAATTAGCAATTGTCAATAAATAAATAAATAAATAAATAAAATTTGCAATTTCCAGGCCAAATTAGCAAGTGTCAAAAAAAATTAGCAATCTACTCATCAAATTGTTTTAAATGAGATGCTTTCTGTTATAGTTCGGTGGAGCTGAAGAGACGGCTCAGCGGTTAAGAGCACTGGCTGCTCATGCAGAGGGCCCGGACTGGATTCCCAGCACCCATGGCAACTGACAATCCATCCCTAACTCCAGCTCCAGGGGACTAGGGGATTCCACTCCTTCTGACCTCCACAGGCATTGCATGACACGGATGCACTTACACACATGCAGGCAATACACTCCTACACATAAAATATTAGACTAGGCATAGTGGTACACGCCTTTAATCCCAGCACTCATGAGGCAGAGGCACAGGGATCTCTGTGGATTCGAGGCCAGCTGGGGCTATAGGGAAAACCCGTCTCAGTAAGACCAAATAAATATTAAAATAGTTCAGAGAACTATTTCATAGTTCTGTTTCATACAGTACAAGTCTGTGTGGAAAAGAGAGGGTTCTATTAGCCCAGTTAGCTAACAAAACTGTGTGGCAGGGCTGTTACTTTTTCTCCCTTGGCACGACAAAGGCCTAGCGTTTACAGCAGTCTCTAGTATCAGAGGCAGTGCAGTAACCCCAAAGCCTGAGCTCTCTCTGAAAGGTGTAAAAATTCTAATGACCATTTATGGGCTTTCAGAGAACTTTTTGTTAATTAAGGAATCGGCCAGTAAGCCCTTTAATTTTTACTTTCATCACCAGGGTTAGTAAGACGCGTCACAAAATCAAGTAAATGAAAACACGTAGCCAAAGCAGATCTTCACTACTGCTGAAGGTATCCTTACTGTTCTCCGAAATCTTAAAAATATTTTCTTGGGCTTAAAATAACTTTGAAAAGGTACGTTAATAAGGTCAGGAATTAAGAAGTATCCGAGTCCCGGACGCTGCCTAACTCTTCCACCACCCCCTCTTCGCTCAGTCACCCCAAAGACCTTACAGAGAAGAGCAGCGGGGGAAGTGGAGCAACCGAGGAGGTGGGGCCGAAATCTAACTTCATTGTTCACCGCGCCGACGCAGCCAGAGCGCTTGGCCACGCCTGCGCAGTGCGCGCTCTTTGTGCCGGGCTGCAGCTGGCTGCTTGTTTGTGTCTCGCCCCAAACTGGAAGGCGGGGCCTTCCTGACGCACTCGGATTGGGTCTCCTTAAGGAGGAGGGCGGACATGGGGCGGGGCTTCCGATAACAACACTCGGAACCGCGGCCGGTGCTATTTGTTGCTGCGCCGCCTCGTCCGAATTACGGTCTGCGCGCGGAGCCTGCTCGCAGCAGCCGCCTTCCCGTGACCTCGGGTTCCGCTTCTCCCAGCCTGCCGAGCAGCCGCCCCGCGCCATGACTGTCGTCTCCGTCCCGCAGCGGGAGCTCGCTCTGGGCGGCCGTCTGGCACCGCTCGGCTTTTCCGCCCGCGGCTTCCTCGGGGCCCTCCCGATGGTGAGCCCGGCCCCGCCGCCCTTGCCGCGCCTGGCGGACCCGCGCGTGCTGCCGCCGTCGCTCTTCCTGCCGCACTTCCTCGCAGGGGATAGCCCCTGCCAGGTGGCCGGCCTCGGACCGACCGCGCTGCCCGGCTGTAACCCGGCCCCGGCGGGAGCCCAGCGGGCGGCACCCAAGAAGCGGCGCAAGAAGAAGGTGCGCACCAGCCCGGCGGGGCAGTTCCCCAGCCGCTTCCACCAGTTCCAGCAGCACCGGCCGAGCCTGGAGGGCGGCCGCAGCCCGAGCGCAGCGCCGGAGGATCCGGGCTGCGCCGCCGCCTCGGCTCCGGACCCCGCGGCCGCAGTCCGGCCGGCAGGAGCGAGCCCGGGGTGGCCCGCGCCGCCGGCTCAGGCTCCGCTTAGAAAGGAGGTAGGCCGCGGGCCGGGCGGGGGGCTGTTTACTCGGGAGGGAAGTTTCCGTGACGCCCTCTCAGCCCTGCTGGGCGGAAGAGGGGGCAGGGCGGCCTGTGCTGGCGCCGCTGATTGGCTCCCGGCAGCCAGCCAATGAGAGCCGCGGCTGCGCCCCAGCAACAGCCCGGATTTAGATGGCTGGCGGCGCTCCAGGGGGTTTCGGTGTTCGGGGCGCGGGCCTGCTCGCGGGAGGGCTGACGTCAGCGCGCTACGTGCGGGGCGCTGGGGCGCTCATGGTGGGGGCGCGGCGGAGCCCTTCGCCTAGAGGAGGGTTGCGCAGTGGGGTGCCCTGGCCGTCGGGTGGATGGTCAGACCCTTCGGGTCGGCCGGGCCTGTTAGAAGGTACTGGTTCCCACGGAATGGTCTGGGCTCTTCTGGAACTCTCCAGCTTGGCCTCCCAGCTGCTGGCGAGGCCGCGAACCTCACCACGCCCCGCTGGCGGGAATTTCGTTACTTGTGCCCGAAAGTTTTAGAAAGGCTGGGTGTGGTGCTCACGCCCCTAATCTGCACTGGAGGTGGTGGCAGGATCTCGTGAGTTTGAGGATAAGCCTGGGTTATGTAGACAAAAACCAAAAAGTTACCAAAGGTCCTACACCAACTGATTAGATTTGGATAATGTGGATAAAAAGTCAGACGGACCCGGGCGTGGTGGCGCACGCCTTTAATCCCCAGTACTCGGGAGGCAGAGGCTGGCGGATCTCTGAGTTCAAGGCCTGCCTGCTTGGTCTACATAGCGAGCTCCAGGCCAGCTGGGGACCCTGTCTCAAAAAAGAACAAAAAAAAGGATCTGAGAGTAATCTCAAAATCGTACAATTTCAAAGTTTTACCCTTTGGCATGAAAGTAATAGTCTTTTGATTAAAGAAAATTAAACTGAGATTTGTACTTGTATCAAACTGTACCCATAAAGAGAAGAGGAAATACATTTTTGGATACTAAGGGGTTTTTTAATTTTTATTTAGTTTTTTAGACATGCACTGATGTAGCCAATACAGGCCTAGTACTCAGTATTGTATCTGAGAATGGTGAACTGATCCTCCTGCCTCCACCTCCCAGGTTCTGAGATGACATACATGCACCACACACACACACACACCTGGTTATATTATAAATTTAAAAATTACAGGACTCTTGACATATTAATGCTAATCTAAGAGGGAGGTACTTGTTTTGCTTTTTTGGTGTTACCTTGCTTCAAGGCCAGAGTTCAGAACAAGGGGTGTGCTGGAGTGCTTCCCTTTTGGTGTGTAAAAGCTTGCTGTTTTGTGTCCTTAACCGTGATGCAAGTGTTGAAGGACAGTGGTCTAGCGGTGTACTTTTAATCTAATGCAAACTTCTGTAGATTCCACTTTGGTTAGGAAAGTTACTAGATTGAGAAAAAGGTTGCCTGGGTTTTGTTGAGGGAGGGGTGGGGTGGAGCATGGTTACAATATTGACCTTGTAGCTCTGGCTGGCAAGTGAATTTGTGATCTTCCTCTGTCATTCCCAGGGCTAGGATTACAGGCCTGCCCAATGCAGAACCTTTCTTGATGCTGTTGAACTAAAAGTAACAGGCAGAGACAAGCGTTCCCCCACCCCCTCTTATTACAGTTATAAAAGGTGAACTTGACGTTTTGTGTTTTGTCTATTTGAGATAGGGTCTTCCTACAGCTATAGCTGGTCTGGAACTTGCTATGTAGACTAGACTGGTCTCAGTCTCACAGAGATCTACTTTCTCTGCCTCCTGAGTGCTGGCATTAAAGATGTGTGCTGGCATTAAAGGTGTGTGCTGCCATGCCCAGCTTTGCTTTGAGTTTTTTAAGTGACATTTTAGGATTTACTCCAGCTTTTGTATACTGGTGACTAACAGCATTGATTTGTTTTCAGTAGCAAACAAAATAAAAGGCATGTGTATATTTGGACACCTAGTGACAAGTACAAGCAGCACCAAGTATTTAATCAAAACTGAATGAAATTTGAGAGAAAATATGTAAAATATATGTTTGATGTAAGGTTTATAACTTTATCTTGAAACGATATTTATTTGTGTTCCTTATCTTTATAGGTTTTTAAATCAAAGATGGGAAAATCAGAGAAGATTGTCCTTCCCCATGGCCAGCTTGTGCATGGTATACACTTGTGTGAACAACCAAAGATAAACAGACAGAAAAGCAAATATAACTTGCCACTAACCAAGATCACCTCTGCAAAAAGGAATGACAACTTTTGGCAGGATTCTGCTTCACCTGATAGAATTCAAAAGCAAGAAAATAAGCCTTTTAAAAACACCGAGAACATTAAAAACATTCATTGGAAGAAATCAGGGTTTCTAACTGAAGTGAGCCAAAAGGAAAATTATGCTGGGGCAAAATTTAGTGATCCACCTTCTCCTAGTGTTCTTCCAAAGCCTCCGAGTCACTGGATGGGAAGCACCGATGAAAATTCCAACCAAAACAAGGAGCTGATGGCAGTGCACTTAAAAACGCTCCTAAAAGTTCAGACTTAGATTTTAGGTTTTGGTATGTATGCTAAACATAGTTTTTCCCAAACCCCTGGACTCTGAAAGGAAATTGATAACAGTAATGGAAATTTGCCATGTTGCAGCATTCAGATACAAAAGATGAGCTTACAGTTCCATACAAATAGCTTGTACTATATTTTATATTTTGTAAATACTGTATACCATGTATTATGTGTATATTGTTCATACTTGAGAGGTACATTATAGTTTTGTTATGAAAGTATGTATTTGCCCTGCCAACATGGTGGGTGTTTTGTATATATACAGTGGAGAAATTTTAAGTGGATGCTAAGGCACATACATGGAAGACTGGTTTATTTGCACAGGTACTGAGAATTTTTTTTTTTTTTAAGAAATAGCTTTCAAATCTCAAAGTGAAGATCTAAATGTGAACAATTTACTAATGCACTACTGAAGTCTAAATCTGTGGCACAATCATTGTGAACGTGAGATTTGTCTGTTTCTCTAAAATGATCTGTAACTATTAGAAAACTATTCCCATTTTTACCAAACTCGGTTTCTGGTTACTGGTATATAGCCATTACTAAAATTTAAAATACCTCTTATTTAATGCCAACAAAATTGGTTGTAATCAAATTTTAAAGTAATAATAATAATTTGGCCTCCCCTTTTACACTAGTCTTTGCTTTTTGTGTGTGACTGTTTCTATAGTTTGAATGTGAGCAGATAACTGCAGTTGGTCTTTACAACCTTTCATTTTACTGTCTTTATACAAGTCTTTGACTATACTAAATATATCCTACAAATTTAGAATTAATGAGACAGGGTCTCTCTGTAGTCCTAGCTGGCCTGGAACTCACTGTTGAAGAGTAGACCAGGCTGGCCTCCATCCACCTGCCACTTCCTCTGCCTCTTGAGTGCTGGGATTAAAGGCATACACCACTCTGCTTGGCCAAGAATTAACCATCTTACAAATAGAAATAGTGTGGTACCAAACCAGGGATCCTGTCTCAAAAAAAAAAAAAAAAAAAAAGGATACAAGTGAAGCTGGTTATATAATTAGGAAAAAAAAAGATGAGTGTGTTTATATACATGTATTGTGTTTATATTACATGAGTGTGTTTATATACACTGGCAGGATCTCATGTAGCACAGACTTGAACTTGGTGACACCTTGGCCTAATGCTGGGATTATAGGTATACACCACTATTACCTAGTTTGTCTTGCTGGGGATCAAAACAAGCATTCTACCAACTGAACTGTATCCCAACCCTAGAATCTATACTTTTCATTTTTATTTTGAGACCGGGTCTTTTTAAGTTGCCCTGGCTGTCCTTGAACTTGACTTTTATCCCAGGCAGGCCTGGACCTTGTGATCTTCCTGCCTAATAGTCTCAAGGAGTTGGATTACAGGCATGTCTTCACCACACCTGGTTTAGGATATATGAACTGTTTACCATTTGATTTGTACCCCTTTTTATAAAAGTGTGTGTGTGTGTGTGTGTGTGTGTGTGTGTGTGTGTGTGTGTACACACACACGCCTGTGGAAGCCTGAAGAGTGCCAGATCCCTTGGACCTGGAGTTACAAATTGTGAGCCTGAGTGCTGGGAACCAGAGGAACCAAAGTCCTTTGGAAGAGAAGCAACTACTCTTAACCACTGAATTATTTCTAGCCCTGTCACATGTCTAGGGAGGCCAGAAGAGAGTGTCACATCTCTTTATGTAGCCCAGGTTGGCCTCAAACAGATTCTCTTCCTAAGCCTCAGGTGTTGAGGTTATACATGTGTACTGGCATGCCATTTATAGTAGATAAGTTTTGAGTCAGGGTTTAAGCAAGGGTTTGAAGAGACAAAGCGACTGGCAAGCCAACATGCTTGTTCACAGTGCAGATTTCTTCCTTTAGGTGGGAAAAACTTCTAAAAATTCAGACCACAGGGACTGGAGAGATGGCTCAGCAGTTAAGACCACTGGCTGCTCTGGCAGAGGACCAGAGTTTGATTCACAGAACCCACATGGTCACTAACAATAGTCTGTAACTCCAGTTCCAGAAGATCAGGCACCCTCTTCCACTCTCTTTGGGCATTGCATGATACAGGTGCCCTTATATACATGCAGGAAATACACTCATACACATAAAAATAAAATTTTTTTAAATCAGACCATAGCCAGCATGGTAGTACACAAGTGTAATCCCAACACTTAGCAGTTGGAGGCAGGAGGATCAGAAGTTTCAGGCCAGCCTGAGCTATGTGAGACTACAAAAAATTAAACACAAAATCCAGGGTCTGCAAGGTGGGGCAGTGGGTAAAAGCACATGCCATGAAACCTGGCAGAGTACATTTGGTACCTGGAACCTACCTAGAGGTGAAGGGAGAAAACTGACTCCCAAAAGTTGTTCCCTGACCACATGTGCACCATAGAACTCATCACATACACACATTTATAATAATCATAAAAAATAAAACCACCATAGTTCAAAATCCTTACCTACTGAAAAGAAGGGTTAAAGTATTCTCAAAGATTTGAAATTGAAACTGCTCTATGGTTTTATTTTTTACTGTTATAGAAAGTTTACAAAAAGTTTAATATGAAAAGGTACATGATCCAATTTTTATATCAGAGTAAAGCAGGCGCTTTAAAGAGGGGCACTGATTTCTTTGCCCAGTCATTATTTAAACCTGTCCCAAATGTCTAATGAGATAGTTTCCTCATGTTACCACATTCCATTAGTGTTCTGTTGCCTGCAGGTTGCTGTCTCCACACAGAGGCATTAGATCCCTGCCATATTCTTTGGACGTACCTGCTACCTTTTAATTTCCATGATAACTTCATGGGTTTTTGTGGGATTTTTTTTGTTTGGTTGGTTGGCTGGTTTTTTTAGATGATTTCATGTAGTTGAAGCTGGCCTTGAATTTGCTATGTGGCTGAGGATGACCTTGAACTGATTTTTCTGCCTCTACCCCTTAAGTGCACTTGTGCACCACCATGCTTGGTTTGTACTGTGCTGGAGATCAAACCCAGGGCCTCCTGCCTGGTAGGCAAGAACCCTATCAGCTGAGATACATCCCCAGCTCCCAATATGATAATTTCAAATATGACCAATAAAAACAGAATACTTAAATGTGAATCCATAAATCTTTTCAGAAATGCCCTAAAATTGTCCCATAATAGATGGATTTCCACCTGCAGAAGAATGAAATTAGATTCGCAACATTCACCTTAAACAAAAATCAATTCAAAATGGATTGAAGACTTTAAAACCTGAAACTCCTAGATGAAAATATAGGGACTACTTTAGGACATTTGGGTAGGCAAGAACTTACTGAACACATTAACAGCACAGGAATTAGCCCCAAATCTCAACAGATGGAAATACATAAAATTTAAAATGTTTCTGCATAGTGAAGGATGCTATCGGCAGAGCACACAGTCCACAGAATGGGAGGAAATCTTTACTACTTATACTTCAGACAAGGCGCTAATAACCAGAATTTACAAAAAACTGCAGAAATTACGGGCTAATGAATAGAGTTTTCAGAGAAATAAAATGACCAACTATTTTTTAGCTTTTTATTTACTTTTATTTTCTGTGTATGAGTGTATTGCCTGCATTTAAGTAAGTGTACCTGTGTCATGAAATGCCCATGGGGATCAGAAGAGGGTGTCCAATGCCCTGAAACTGGAGTTACAGAAGGTTGTTAGCCACCAAATGGGTGCTGGGAACCAAACTTGCATTGTCTGCCAGAGCAGCCATTGCTCTTAAACACTGAGCCATCTCTCCAGCCCCAGCTAACAACTATTTCACTTAGAAAAAGTGATTTTAAAAGTGTTCAATATCCCTTGTCACCAGGAAAATGTAAATTAAAACTACTTAAACTACCTTGCCCCAGTCAAAATGGCTGTCATCAAGAAATTCAATAAATGTTGGTGAGGATGTGGAGAAAGAGGAACCCTTATTCACTGCTGGTGAGAGTGCAAATTAGTATAGGCATTATGGAAGTCAGTTTGGAAGTTCCTCAAAAAGTTAAAAACAGCTACCATATGATCCAGCTCTCTTACTCCTGGACATAAATCTAGAGAACTGTATATCTCATGATATCTCTATCACTTGCACCCCCATGTTTATTGCTGCTCTATTCACTGTAGCAAGGAAATGGAACCAACTTAACTGTCCAACAGATGGATAATGAAAACACACACACACACACACACACACACACACACACACACACACACCACAGTGGAATATTATTCAGCTCTAAAAAATGAAATTAGAAAATTCACAGGAAAATGTGGGTATCTGAAATGTATAATATTAAATGAGGTTACCCAGTCTCAGAAAAAATTTTTTTTCCTCATATGTGGGTCCTAGTCCATAATGTATACTTGTACATATATAAACAAATGCATGTGTGAGTATATCATAATATTTAGAAAGAAGAAAGTAATTTTAAAAAACAAAGGTTTTTTTGGTATAGTTCATGGGAGGATATGCGAACTTTCTTCATATTGAAGTAGTAAGAACCATTTCTGCATTCTGTAAGAATCCAGCATGTGTTATATTATTCCTTTGAGGCAGTGACTGAAAACAGCTTTTTAATTCCACTGATCATTAGGTATTAATAGGAATTAGACATGACTAACCACTGAAGACATTTTCCACATTGACTCAGAAAAAGTGATTTTTTTTTGTTACATTTGTTTTGTTACCTGAAAATTTTCCTTTTTTTCTTGGTTAAAACCATATAAAATAATTCTATTATAGTGTTATTTAATATATAAATTATACTGCCATACCTAAAATATTTTAAGTATGGTTTCAAAAAGAAAATTGTTCCATAATAGTTTTCAAAAGGGAGGATATGTCTCCTACATGAGGTGATGGAGGAGGCAAACTTAAGTCAGCACAAATTACTTGTAATTAGCTGCTTGGGTTTTGCTTTTGTTTGTTCTGCTTTGCCGAGTGATTACCTTCATTCAGTTGGTTGGTGCTTTTTATTTAGGGGCATGGGGTGTTTGTTGTTGTTGATGACAGAACCTTACTGTACAGCCCAAGACTGGCTTGGAACTCATGCTCCTCTTCCTCCTTCCTGTTTCCTGAGTGCTGGATTATAGGCATGCACTATGCCTGGTTATTTCCAAGTTTTTCTTTTAAGTAACAAAAACAGTGGGTGTTCCCTGCCCCCTTTTCTTTTCGGGATTTTAAGCATCAAAACCTGTTTTTCACATTTATTCATGTTATTTATTCATTCTTCATTTTTTTCAAAAAAGTTTTGTTTGTTTGTTTATTTATTTATTTATTTATTTTTCTGGTCTTTTTGAGACAGGGTCTCCCTGTAGCCCCAGCTGGCCTGGAACTCACTATGTAGACCAGGCTGGCTTTGAACTTACAGAGATCTGCCTGCCTCTACCTCCTGAGTGCTGGGGTTAAAGGAATGCACAACCTTGCCGGGCTTGATTTATTTAATTATTTATTTATTTATTTATTTATTTATTTATTTTATGTGTATGAGTGTATTGCCTGCATATATGTGAGTGCACCTGTGTGATGCAATGCCATGGAGATCAGAAGAGGGCTTTGGATTCCCCTGGAACTGGAGTTAAGGACAGTTTGTAGCTGTCATGTGGGTGCTGGGAATCAAACCCAAGTCCTCTGCACGAGCAGTCAGTGC